TAGTTAATGAAATACACCCACTAAAACAACCATCACCTATTGTTCTAACTGATGAAGGTATATTAATTGATGTTAGTAATTCACACCCAATAAAACAACAAGTTCCTATTTTACTAATAGAAGATGGTATAATTATTGAAGGTAAAGAAATACATCCACTAAAACAACCATCAGGTAATTTATTAATTGATGTTGGTATAATAATTGATGTTATTGAAGTACATCCAATGAAACAATAATTTCCTATTTCACTGATTGATGTTGGTATATTAATCTCAGTTAATAATGAACAATATTCAAAACAACTATCAGGTATTTTACTAATTGATGTTGGAATAGTGATTGATTGTAACGATATACATTTATTAAAACAATTATCTCCTATTTTATTAATCGATGTTGGTATAGTAATTGATGTTGTACATTCATAAAAACAATTATCTCCTATTTTATTAATTGTTATAGGTATATTAATAGATGTTAATGTTTTGCATTTATAAAAACAATTATCTCCTAATTCAGTAATTGATTGTGGAATAATAAATTCATCAATACCTTGTTTTATAAAATCTCTTTTATTGATTAGTTTTAAATTTTCTGGTATTTCAATATAACTAATACTGGTTCATTCATAAATATTCTATCTTCACTGATGAATTGTACAGTATCTATATCAATATCAACTAATGACATACATTTAAATAAACATTCATTTCCTATTTTACTGATTGTTGATGGGATATTAATTGATGTTAAAGAAACACAAATATTGAAACAACTATTTCCTATTTCTTTGACAGTAGATGGTATATTAGTGTTAATTAATGAAGTACATTCATAAAAACACCACTCTTTTATTTTACTGACTGATTGAGGGATAGTGATTGATGTTAATGATAAACATACACTAAAATACCAATCTTCTATTTCTTTGATTGTTGTTGGAATATTAACATTAATCAGTGAACGACATTCATAAAAACACCATTTCCCTATTCTACTAACTGATGTAGGTATAATAATTGATGTTAATGATGAACAATATTCAAAACAATAATCTCCTAATTCTCTTAATGATGATGGTAAATTAATATTAGTTAATGAAGTACATCCACTGAAACAACTGTTTCCTATTGATGTAATTGTTGATGGTAGAGTAATTTCTTTTAATAATAAATATTCTGAAAAGTGA